TTGTTGTTGTTGTTGTTGATGTAGAGGTTGATGTCGTTCCTGTTGTTGTTGTTGTTGATGTAGAGGTTGATGTCGTTTCTGTTGTTGTTGTTGTTGTTGCTGTAAAGGTTGATGTCGTTCCTGTTGTTGTTGTTGTTGTTGTTGATGTTGATGTAGAGGTTGATGACGTTTCTGCTGTTGTAGTTGTTGATGTAGAACTGATAGAGTTTGTGGTTGTAGTGGATGATATGATCGTCTCTGAGGTGGCAGAGAAGGCGGCCGTTACGTCCGTTGTATCTGCTGTGGCGCTTGACGAACTTGACGGCGAATTTGCCGACCAAGTAAGAGCAAATGTGGTTAAATGATTACAGCTGCATTCATATCGACCAAATTGTATGTTTTGAAGAGGTACAGTACATCCGCTTTCGTCCCAGCTTGAACTATTGATGTCATAAAATGAGCATAGATATGTAGCACTTACATTGGGTTGATATTCTGGTAACACTTTGAAATATAAAGAAATATTTATTGGATTGTATGCAGAACCAATGCGCCGTACGGAGGTGACGATTACCGATGATGCCAAGAGCTTATTGGTTGTGTTGCCGATAGTTTTGTACAGAGTAGGTTTATCGATGATAAACATTTTCAGGGATGTGACGTTGAGTATAGATTCCTTAGCAATGGTAGCAGCTACGGAAAAAGTGGAATTTAATGTGGATTCTTCTGTGGAATTTCTCACAAATTGACCTCCTAAATTACGCTGAAATTTGGCACCCAAGACGATATCATCGGCACTTTCGCTGAGTTCTTGTGCAATTAGAAATGAAGCTTGAGAATTAATCGCAATACTGATATTATTGAGTTTATCAAGCACCTCATCAATTCTACTGACCGTAACAGTATTATAAGGGTTACTTGATAAATTAGAGTTCGCAGTGGACGATATATACAATGATAGAGCATTGGCTAAATCGATCGAACTACCGTTACCATTATTTAATATTCCAGCTGACAATTCCTACGAATAGAAGAAGCATTAGAACACAATAATAAAGATTCGTATTCAAACCTGTCCAACTTCGGCAGAAACACATGTTCCATTAGTTAAAGCAACTTGGAATGAGTTGCGGCAAATATCAGGAGTATATGTCGTGGTTGTTGTTGTTACTGCATTGGTTGATGACGTGGTATTTGAGGTCGAGCTTGTTGAATTCAATGTTGTTGATGTTGAGGTGAACGTTGTTGAATTCATTGTCTCCGTTTCAGAGGTTGAAGTTGAAATAGGTAATGTTATGCTCTCTGTTGGGTTGATTGACATCAGTGTGGTTAATGAAGAAATCACAGTTTGTTCAGCCGTTGAACTTGTAATGGTTGATATCAAATCGAATGTGTTAGTAGCAGTGGTAACTAAACTACTTTCTGCTTTGGTTGTGATACTTGTGGCAGAAGTGGCTGTAGAAGTGTTAATCACTACCGTAGAAATTGTTTTGGTAGCAGAAGCGGCATCCTCCGTCGTTATCTGTGTCATTACCACCGTTTGCTCGAGAGTTTGACCTTCGAAACTGGTCTCGACTTCCCTTGATATGCTACTGGCATAGATCGATATCACAGGTGTAGTTCCCATTACAGTAATCGTACTGGCGTGAGACGTTCTCTGCTCGGTGGGTGTCGTCGACAACACCTCGGCTTGCCAAGTTGTTGGTCTTTCTAAAGTAGAACCAATTTCTGTTGCAGAAGCAGTGACAGACATCATTGTCGAAGAACTAAGTACAACCAAAGATGTTGCTGAAGTGGAAGAACCAGTACTTTCAACCGTCGTCATCCGTAATACCTCGCTTTGCTCGGTTGTTCCACTATCCAAAGTAGTCTCAGCATCTGTTGTAGTATAAGAGGCAGACGCCACTGTCGGACTGCTGGTCACAATCCAAGCTGCCCCAGGAGTTGAACCACCACTACCTTGTGCC